TCTTCCCTTGATCCTCACTGTCACAACTACAAGGACAGTTGATCAAGGACAGCTGGATAGGAGTTTTTTAAAGGAGATGCTTTTAGCTCCCCTTGAAGTTGGTGGACTAAGACACAGGACTTCTCCTGGTTTTTGTTTGCAGGACTTCTGAGCCTGGTGAGATCAGGTTCATTCCTTTCCTATGGCTTGATTACAGAAAGCAGGAGGAGCTTGCTGTTTTTCCTTTCAATGCTATTGAAAAGCTGAAAGGTATTTTTTAACTGTAAAGTGAATGAGATACAGCCTCTAAGTACAGCAAAGAATCCACGTGGATGCAGAAGCAAGGATGATGAGGGTGTTTGAAAAACATATGCTATTAACCTGCCTAAAAGAACCACCATTCTATTGATCTCAGATATATGAATTTATGGCCTTGTTATGAAATTTCTGATGCCTCAGCTTCCTAGCGTTGAAACATTCATTCAAAGCAGCTAAAGCTTTACAAATAGATTTTTTTTCAGAAATAGAGTTTTTCCATCTGTTTGTTCCATTTTCCCATCTGTTCCTCCAGTCTCATAGTCTTGTTCAACCTGTTTATGAAGATTGCCTTTAAGTGGATATATACTTTTTTTTTTTTTTCCGTACCAGGACAATTGTTTCTTAGACAGTGGTTTGATTTGTTCTTAAATTGCTTCTCTGAATTGCTCTGGGTGCTTTTTCGCCTGACCCATTTACCTTGCCAATACACATTTTCAGCCATCGACGTGGCTGTGGGCTTCGAGGCCACAAGGAGTCGTTGCCGAATGCACAGCAATTGCTGCAGTCTCCCGTTCCCCTTGCATTTTCCTTGCTCAGTTGAATAACTTTCCAGCAAGACTAGACTGTGACTTGTGGCCAGAGCCACATGAGAAAATCAGCGTGAGGCCACAGTGCTAGTGCCTGGCAGATGCCATTGTGCTGCATCCACCTAGGTGCTACAAAGGTGGGCAACGCAAGAGCGTTTCCATTTTTTGACTGCTCTCGGTCAAGAGGGTGAGTTGATGTAAGGGTGGGACTTCTTTACTGCAACACGAGAGGACCCGCTGTTACAGAAAGGAGCATACCAGTGGGACAGTTAATACTGGCCGGGATGTGAGCTGTGGCACCGTGTACTGCAGGAGCTGGACAAGGTGGTACTTCTGGTCATGGGTTTGGGGTGGTGGCATCCATGGCATGCAGTGAGGCTCCTGAGTTTAGTACCTTACTTCATTGGCTCCATGAAGTGGCACGATTCGGGTACCTGCTGAATAATCCCCTTCAGCTAGGCTATCGCTCTCTGCCACTACTGTTGCTCTCACACCACATTGCCTTCTGGCCACCAGTTCAGGGGAATTTTATGGAAATGCACTAGCCTTTGTACAACCCAGGTGTTGCTCAGTGACCAGACACCTTTAAAAAAAGAGCTATCAGGCAACCTGGAAACCCAAGAAGCTTGCGATAGGTAGCAGATAAATTCAGAATAAAGAATAAACTACCACCAAATAAATTGCCTATTCTCAGTAGAAACCCTCACTGGAGATGACCTCACACCACCTCCCGAAATTTCGCTTTACTGAAGGGTCTGTAGCTTTGAAGTAGTTACTAGACAAAGATTTGGGTACTTGTGGCAACCCCCAGCCCGTGTTTGATCAATCTGGAAAAAATTCTCAGGAATCACTAACCAGTATTTTATTACAGCTAGATTGGAAGCCGGACTAGACTCATCTCTCTGCAATTGTCTTGGTTGTCTGAGAGACACAAATAAGTGCTCTTCTAAGAACTGCATCATTTCTCCTACAAATTTTCATCTCTCCAGGTCCCCCCAAAAACGATCTTTGATATGTCAAAATAATCCTTTATGTAGAGGAATTGAAAGTTTGGAAGATGTCCAAAAATGTGTTAATCTACACTTTTTACATTTGTCTTTTCATGTAAGGGAGGGGGGAACTAATAATAAGCTTGCAAATCATATGGTTAAGTTTAAAGAGAGAAGCCTTGGGAAAGTTTTCCAGCCTTCTGAAAGACATTTTGGTTTTATTCCTTCTGTCTCCATAAGACTTTTGCCTTCTACCATTTGCCAGCAGGAGGAAGATTAGAAAAATTCTACTGGTCTGTCATCACGAGTGACAATTGTGAAGTACTTTTATTGTTATCCCTTTTCTTCTGGTAGAAGGAGATCAGACCCTCCATTTAGCAAAAGAAAAGACATCTTCTCTTTTGTTCCAGAGGCACTAAGCAAGATAGGGCTATTTGTAATTTTTTTCTTTACATTCAACATGAGCTTAAACACATGCGTTCCAGGACCTTTGAAGACAGCTATGCTCTACCGTTCAGGTAAAAAAGGCTTGCAGAAAGTTTCTGCTGCAAAGGACAGACCAGTTGCTGGCCATCATGCAGGAGGACTTCCCCAGAGACATTCTGGCCAAGCACAGTCCTTCCCACCTAAATGCAACTCTATTGTTAAAGGCTTATACTTCTAGCTGAGGCAGTCCATTGCCAGAGCCCATGGGTGCTCCATATGGGTGCAGTGGCAGGGTGGCATATCGTCTGTGGCCCGCGTTTTGCAGCAGCCCTTCCTCTTGAGTGTGGTGGTGGTTTTATTTCAGGGTGGCCAGCTGGCCTTTTGGGGCTAAGCAGAAACAAGTGCTGGATTTAGCTCCAAGGGCAAATGTTTGGGCCATCGGCTCTCAGACAGGCATGAAAGGCCACTCCTGCACATCTGATGGCAAGCTCAGGGCTTTACCTTCCAGCACAGCGTAGTTTGATTAAAAAGTTTGCTCCATACCAGCCTGTGCAGAAAACAAGGGCTCTGTATTTCACTACTAAATCCCCCCATATAAGCATTTCTTTTAATTAAATAAAAGCCTACTGAATAAGAAAGTTTCTCCTTTTGGGTAATGATGCATTCACCCTTGCTCATGGTATATGCTATTCCATTAGTAGACTTACTTTTTCACTTCTTACAATTTGGCTTCCATACGAAGCTGTTCATGTGTGGTGCCAATGCTGCTGGTAATGAATTTCTTGCAGAGCTGACTTGAGCAATGTCTTCTTGAAGTAATCACTATCTATCTCCCCAGCATTTAGCTGAGTATACAGTCTCCAGGACCTTTCAGCAAGCATCCATCGGCAATGAGTTCAAGTTAAGTAAGACACTGCCCTATTCCAGAGCCTTAGCACATCAAATCCCCACATTGTAACTAATTATTTCTATTGGCTGATTGCTCTTTAATTTGTCCATTTTATAGGTAAATAGATTTATCTTAGGAAGACAAAGGTAATAATGAAGCATTTATTATTCATTGCCTTCCTTCAGAGACTGAAAGGCTGAGCTCTGAAACAGAGATGGTTTAGCCTTACAGAGAAGTCACCTGATTTTCATACTCATGCAGAATGGGCATCCCAGACTGTCGGGAAAGACCAGAAAACCCTGAAAAAATTATGGAACCTCCTAGCAGGACTTCTTACAAAATGATGACATTAATGATTTGGTCTCCCATGCCCATTTCCTCATGAACCTCCACGTTTTAGAACGGAACAATTTCTAATTGGCAAATCCCGGGAGGAGTCCTGTTTGCAGTGCAGGGGGATCACCATCTAGAGCCCATATCCAGACATTTCAAGAACATTAGCATTTTGTTACGTTCAACTCACCCTTATGCTCCCAGAAGCAAATCTGAGCACCAGCATCTCGTAGACATCTCACTGACTGCCTGGCAATTCCAGATAATGACAGTATTTATGCATGGTTTGTACTGCAAAAACAGAGCTGTATCACAGCACATGACCCATGGCCAAGGAGATCATAAAAGCAGTGCCTGACCCAAAGAGCTTGCAGCTGGGAAACAGCAGAAGGGTAGATGAAGGCATAAAAGGAGACAGCAAAACACTGCGCACTGGTACAATAAGCTGTGCCTTGGCGTTCATACTCCTAGTGGAGTCCTCCTGGCGTCTCAGCAACACGACAGGCCAGATCCTGCCCACAGCTCCCCTCCTGCAGAACTGGAGCTATGCCCGATGCTGAGACAGCAGAGACTCAGCCATGAAGTGGGTCAGATGCCAGCCAGCGCGTTGCCACTACAGTGTGGCACTGGTCCTACCTACTCCTCTACAGGACTCGATTCCCAGCATGTCTTGTGCCAGATCCCAAGGACATTCAGGTTGGTTTGTTTTTCAAGCAAGGAAACAGACCCTGAAAATCTCCCTCAGGTTGACAAAATGAGGAAAAGGAAGAAATTCACCAAATTAAAATTCTTGGAGAGAGATGTCATATGTGTATGCCTAAAGGCAAGGCCCTTGGTCCACGGGCTGAGAGCATGTTCTGAGCCGTGGCCTCACTGGTGGTGCTCTTGCACTTGTTTCCATCTCACTGTCTGCGGGAACACTCCCAGCAGCTCAGCACTTTGGAAAAAAAAAAAAAAAAGTGGTTGTAGAGGTTTTGATGCAGATATAAAAGCAGAAATCTTTCTTTAACAAAAAAAATGTGGGCCCTGAAAACAAAAAGCTAAGGCCAGAGATATTTAGAAGTGGCTGCAGCTGCCCTCACTTTAGCATGGCCAGCCTTGGAGATCTGAATAGGCTTGAGTACCATGAAGTGCTCAATAGGGTCTGTCCATAGCAGCCCTTCAGAGGGTGAAACCTTGGGCCCCCCCATTCCTGCAGTCTCCTCTTTCAGAAGGACCCTTTTCCCTCTCTTTCCATCCCTCCAGAAAGCTGTCATCACCAAATATTCCTTTGGGAGTGAGGCATCTACTTGTCCTCAGTATAACAGTGGGGTGGGAACAGGAGGAAGACCTCTACCTGCTGCTGTGCACAGGGCCCTGCAGATAAGATGAGTCCAAAGAAGTAGGTGCCAGCTTTGTCGGGTGGGTTTTGGTTTGTCTCCCAGGCTAGGGCTGCAGCTGGCTGGCCTGCTCGCCTTCCCTCCTGCGGAGTTGTGCTTCGATGAGAACAAGCCTTCTCCTGCTGATTCCTGCTTGCCATATTGATTGCAGCAGGGTATAATGGAGACAAGTCAGGCAGAAAGCCAGCCACCCTTGGGAATGATTAAAGAGCACGCAGCAAAGGCTAGAAGTGAAGAAAAACAGGCTGGCACTCTGGACCTGGTGGATTTGGAGCAAATCATGCCCCTTTCTCCACCTCATCCCAGCCCCATGCCTGGGACAACGCAGTGGCACCTCTTTTTCAGCACAGCGCTGCCCAAAAAGCGGCATCGTATCAACCTTTATGTAAAGGGGAACAAAATCCCCAGAACATGTACAATATCCCTATTGTGCATGGATTTGCAGACTGATTATTCAGAGCGTAGCTAAGGAAAGGTAAGGCTATGACCCATTGTTTTCGTGCGATCAATTGAATACTGTCATTTGCATTTAAAACGCTCCGAATTCGCACTGTCAATATGCCAAACAGCTGCTCTGGCTTTTCAGCATTCCATGGTGACAATCACACTATCGTACATCATTGGCACCGGGATTTGCAATACTCTCAGTGTCAAAATTTTGTTTTTTTTTTTTTAAATCCCCCCCAAAATACCCAAACCTGTGAAAAATCCGCTTTTAAAATGATTGCATTTGATGCTGCTAACCAGGCCTTCACAGATGCCAACATATCAAAATTCATCTCTTTTCTTCCTCTCCTACAATTAAAAGGTAGTTAAGAAAGAGGCTGTTCCTGATAGATCCACCTTCTGTTTTCTCCTTTGTATGCGTATTATTCATTAGCAGTCTAATAAGAGTTTCAAAATGCTCTGTGCCTCTGCCAGCAGGGCATATGTATGTAGACATGTGCTTGTGACAGATAAGTACATAAACAGCATATTGGCACCAGAAAGACATCTGTGCCTAGAAAAACGCTTGTGATATGTACATAAATGACATTTTAGCTCTAGTCAAGTCCTTGTGGCTTTGAGAGGAATATGTGACTGTACTCTTCTCTGTGAATACTGAAAAGGTGCATCTTAGGAAGGAGAGTATTTTAGAGGTTTACTGAGAGTCAGAGGAAGAGCGCTGATGTAGGGCATTGCCACGCTGCAGCTTGCAAACAGCCTGAGCTACAGCCCCGGGTTTGGCCAAGGTGCAATGGAAAGCCATCACAGGATGGGAGTCCCATGGACCCCAGGGGTCACGGGTGGCTGCCATGGATAGTGCGACAAGGACCAGCACCCCGAAATCTGCTGGTTCAATACATCTTCATGTGGCCTGTGTTGCAGGACAGGTCATTGCACAAGGTTGTGGAGGCCAATGAAGTTCTTGGCTGTGAGGAGGACAGAGGCTTGGCCCAAGGACCAAAAATCAGAAGGAAACTCAGGGTCTGCTGCTCTTCTGCCCATGGCTTGGGGGCACAGGGAGCGCTCTCAGCAGTCCTTTTTGCTGCCTTCCTTTATTATCGGGTTGACAAATTTGAACAAAATCCCTTCACTGCAACTGTCTTTACATCAGAAAAAGGAATATTTCTCTAGAAATCTTTCTCTATTAAAGAACGGCACCAAGTCACGTCTTCTGGGATCTTTTCTAGATTGCACCGCTGATCACCTTGTCGGTGTACGTACACCACTCGGCTTAGGCACACGATGCCTCAGTTTGCCCATTTGAGATCACCATTATCTGTCTTATGGCTTTAATTAATGCTGGAAACTCAGTAATTGGCAGGAGTTAATAGGTGAGAGGTCTATGAGATTCTCAGAAAAACTTGGAGAATATTTGCAGCTACTGTTAGGTAGGAGAGAGAGAAGATGCAAAATGGGAGGCACTTTAGTGTTCCTCAGGAGTGCACATGAGTAAACATGGTATCTGAGCCCTGAGCTCCCATGGGCCCACTTACATCCCGGTGAAGTCGCCGGAAGGGGAGCTGAGCAGACTTCACCTAGCACAAGCATTGCATTCAAATAGGTCTTTTCTGAGCTTGCTCTGGGAGGCATGACTTCCCCAGGACTCTGCCAATTCCTTATTTTCTGCAATTGAAAAATCACCCATAGATTTCCATTGCTTCAACAAACCAAACCCTCAAGGCAAGTGAGTAGCCGGAGCTGTCATTGCCTCTGAAACCATTAGGACCTGGACTGGATGGCAAAGTGGCTGCTGCAGGTGAAAGCCTCTTGGGACATGGCCTTACTACACAGATCAAGGTGGTGATAGGCTGAAGGCCACTACTGTTTGCCGACTTGTCAATAGTGAAAATAGTATTGCTCTTCTGTGCCTGATATAAGGAAGAAAGAAGCAGCAATATACTCCTTGGTGTAAATCAGGGTGCCTCCACTGACTTAAATGACGTATGTTAGTTTATGTCACCTAAGCACCCAGCTCCCCAGGTGTGTGGAAAGCTGACACCTGTAGTATCCTTATAGCCTTGCAGACTGTGAGGTGAATCACAGTGGTGGATGAGCTGTTACTTGACTGAAAAAAGTGTTTGGGGGGAAAATTGTCTCCAGTCATTCTCATTTTGCATGTGATTTTTCCTACATATGTTTCTAATCATTAAGAAATTCTGTAGCTTAAATAATGCTCTGAAAGTACGGTAACTGTTGGACTACATTCTGTTGTAACCTTATTGAATTTCGCTTCTCTGGAAAAAATAATGGGATACTATATCTTGAAAAACAAATGGTAATTACATTTTTAACAGAATGTTTCTCTTTGTGTTTCAAAACCTTCTGCACACAGTTAGACATCTAGCCAGGGAAGAAGGTACAAAGCATATGGGCCAATTTCTGTCTGTTGGCTGTTCAAGATGCCTTAATATTCAAGTAGTGATATGCGTGTGTCCATGCAATATGGCATACTGTATCTACCACAGTACCCAAGAGCTCAGGTAAGGTCCTCAAAAAGTCGTGTACCAGGGTCAGAAGAAGTATTCTAGGAGGAAAAGGGGAAGGTGGGTTTACGTCCCGACAAGACATGTGGAGGTACTATCCTTACCTCGTGCTTGTTCACTTTCTGGCTGCCTAGACTGCAGAGGAAACAATTTTCCTGTGTTCAGGATGCTGGCTGGAGACAGGGATTCAACTTCCAGGTCCACTACAGACTTCCAACATGGAGTTTCCCCGTCCAAATTCCTCAGCTGCAACGTGAGAGGAATTACAATACTTCCTTACATCCCTGATAGGTCTTGAACATACATCCATTAGACATTGGACACTGCTCCAATACAACAGGCAGGATCTTGCAGCTTGGATCCTGTAGAGACTGCAGGTTAGGAAACGTCCAACACTTTTGTTCAGCCTATGCATTATAGTGACATGACTTTCTGAGTGCGTTGGAGATTGGCACATCACTGCATGCTGAGAACTGATTTGGTTAAAACCTGGAGCCCAGAAATAGCGTCATCACAATGCAGTTTCGTTACCGGCTGCTGTTGTTGTCCACTGAGGTTAGGTGAACCCTGCTAATATTGGAATGCTCCTCCCCGATTTTTAGTAAATCTGGCATGTTAAGGCCTTTGTGAAGAGATACGTCTGGACATGTGAAGCTTCAAGGCAAAGTAACAGGCATGAGGTTTCTGACTGACAAGACACATGTGAGTACATGCAAAATGTGCTCCTACGGCTAAAAATAACATTTCTCCTGTCAACCACGATGCATCCACCCCCACAACACCACCCAGAAGAACACATTAACACCTTGGCTTTGCACGGAGCCCAATTCACAGCAGCCACAAGTGGTACAGTGATCTGCACTCTGTGTGCATACTGACAATTCATATGGCATCGCAAAGAACAGAGGAGTGAAACTGGGCTAGCAGAAGTTGACGCCTTATCATCACAGTCCCTTTGAGCATGCTGTAGGCTGACACCTCCACCAACCAAGTCATCTCCCTGATGCTAGGATTAAGAGCATAAGCCCACTATCCTAGTTCAGCCTCTGGTAAGTAAGAATTGGCTCACCCCGCTGGAAAGTATGAGATAGAGTTATCAACACAAACAGGTTCAGGAACGCCACAGATGCACTTGCACAGTGACAAGCAAAGCGTACCCAACCACTGCTACTCACAGCTGGAATACGAGGATCGGCAAAATTTAAGTTGATAGACCAGTTTGTGCATGGTAGGATCCAGAAACCTGTCAATGTTTCAAAACAAAAAGTCCTGGGTTCCAGATAGACCTTACCCTTAAAAACGTCCTACAATAACTAAGGTACAGTTCTGTAAGATAGCCTGTATGTACTCCTACTATCATTTCAGTCAGCAAGGTAGTGAAAGATATGAATGGTAAAGCTTTTAAAAGAGGGAAAAGACTAGAGAAGTATCAATATTTTTGGCCAAAGATTATTTCCCATGAAAAATTGCTCTTTCTTTTTCTAAAAAGTTAAAGCTTTCTGAAAAATATTCAAGACAATAAAAACTCACTGTTCTTGTGAAATTTTCATCCAGATGTCTAGGAAAATCATTCTGAAAATCATTATTGACAGTTTTGCTTCAATAGGCACGTAGGTTGCTTGCAAAGTACAGTTATTCAAAGGGGAAACAAGTTGTAGCTGATATTGGCAGTTGGTGTGAGGGTGGTTCACGGACACAGAGGTCACTGTTGGTCTGGCTGCAGCCTTCCCCCGGGAAGCTTTATTCAGAGGCGATTTTCAGCAAACCCAGGAGATTTAAATGCATAAGTTCCAATCGCTCCTTTAGCTCGCAATCGCATGAGCCTGTGTTCTCACTCTCTAAAGTAAGCTCCTTTAACTCTCATTTAAGTGGCTGGGCAGAGTCTTGGGCTCCGTTCTTCCAGTGCTTCCCCCTGTCTGAACTTCACCTGACTCCAGCAAAGCCTGGAGGCCTTCCGCAGACGTCGAAGGCATCCAGCCCTTTGTAGAAGGCGCTTAGTACTTAACAGGATCAGCCCCTTTGCGACTCAATATGGTCTCCATCACCTCAGATGCCTTACAGTTTTTTAAATTATGCAACGCCCACTATATGTAATTAGCTAAGTAAGCTGCTTTCACCTAACCTCAAATGTTTGTAATGCTTATAATCCCAATTAGGTATCTGTATAAAGGAGCTCCCTGTTAAAGGCAGAAGGGAGGCATATTCTTCAATAAGAAAACTGAGGGCCTTGTCAGGGGTGTAAAGCTACAGCTTTGCAAGATTGCTTTTGCTCGGCCAAATATTTGAGCTGTTGGGGTTGGTTGTGAGGTCCCAGTGTTTGAACTTAGTTATTCTGTAGGTCTTCTGGTAATAGTTGTATGTGAGAAAGTAGCTTGCCCGTGGCAAGTCCTGTCCCCAGTAAGTGAGCAGCATCCTAGCTTGCTTTCTTTCCATTCCTTTCTTATTCCTGTTTCAGCAAGTTTAACACGAGCATCGAATACAAGGTCCCTTTCTGGGATGAAAATCTGTGAGTTCATCAGCCAAGATGCAGATTCTGTTTTGGCCCATTTTAATTTCTCTGTTGGAAAAGCTGAATGGTCAGATTCTCCTGGTGATTTTGATCATGTTTCTTTTGACTATTGACCTTTTGAAAAAGAGACGTCCCAGGAATTTCCCTCCAGGGCCACAGCTTTTTCCTCTTGTGGGAACCTTTGTGGACTTTAAGCAGCCCCTCCATCTTGCGCTGCAGAAGGTAAGAGCTCCATGGATATTTATCCTACTGCTAATATTTTACCTCTGAGTGAATTCTGCCGCTAAATCTGAAAAGCAGAGGCAACCTCTGAAGAACTATCTATATATAAGAAACCTATAAGGTAGGTGGCAGTTCTCGGTTTTACCCTTCCTGCCACCTCCTCTTTCACAGAAGCAGATAGGTCCAATGGGAAGGAAACCCCTAATGGAGGAAGAAGTCCTACACATTCCTCCTCATTCTTCCCATCTGACCATGGGAGCTCATTCTGCCTGAGCCCAGAAGAGGATTGGAGGAGCTGGGCTAGGCTGGGGGAGGGATGGCAAATGTCCTCTGATGAATAAAGTATTTGGACTATGCTCAGCACCTCTGAAAATTTCACTGTCCTTGTCTTTGCTCAGAGGCCAACAATTTGTCCTATTAAAGCTGAAAGAAACATTAAGACCCAGAGTTAAATATCCCTGTGGCGGCTTCTTTGTCACAGAAACAAGTGGTGACAGGTCTAGAAAGGTTTCCAGAGCCCTGACTCCCCCAAAGGCAATGACGGCATGATAAATTATATGTACTGAGTATCTGTGCTGACAAGTGGGAGACAAGGTTCTGACTTGCTGTGCTGGAGCACAGCTATCCCATTCAGGCAGCTCTTCAAGAGGTGCTGCCAAAGCTCTCAGACTCCAAAATAGCCTCCTTTTCCCCAGTAACTGGCCCACCCAGGCAGGAGAAACTATTTTATGCAATCTGCTGCTGCAGAAAGGGAGCATGGTCAGAGCTGAAGGCTCTCAAAATACAAACCCTATAAGCACATACTTCTATGTGCTACAGAAGACCTAGACTTCGGGGGGGTGGGGAGCAACGACATAATTGCAGAGTCCCAAGGACTGAGAATTAGGCTTCCAGGCATTACATCATAAAAGTGATATTGATATGGGCATATGGGGAGAATTAGGACTTGTCCTCAGGATATTTTGTTAGTAGTATAATTAATAGCACTCATTCTCACAGTAACTGAGCCACCCATTTGGCCCCAAGCTGGTTTCATGAGTCACCACTGAAATTCAAGGTGATCTTGTGTGCCCGCTTGCATAGAGCTGTACAGAAAAAAGCATGGACTGAGCTACATGGCAAAGTGGAGCCAGAGAGGACATGATTGCCTTCTTCTCATTGACATTAGGGAATTAAACACTGAAGAGGAGAGACTAATGCTAGCAATGTCTGTGCAAGAAAATGGGTATAAACTGTCCATGGATGCATTCAGGATTAAAATTAGCAGAAAGTCTAACCACCAGCAGCTAGAACCACTTTCTGACCGGGACAGCTGGAGCAAGAAACAGCACTGGTTTTGGTGCAAAGTTCACGAAAGGGAGATTATTTGTTGTGCTTTGCCCTCAGCAGCAAGAGCCTCGACTTGGTGACTCAGTTAATGTGTGTGTCATGCTGCCCAGCAAGTACAAAGCAAAAAAGTCATGTCCTTGTGATCAGGGAAACTGAGGATGCAACCGGCTGGTGAAAGCCAGGTCATACCTGCTAATAAATGTAAGCAATCACTGCTCCCGCACTGCAGCTTGCTAATGTTTCTATCCATTTCCAGCCTCCGTAGACTCACAGAATAGTTTAGGTTGGATGGGACCTGTGGAGGTTCATAGCCCAATCCCTTGATCTGAACAGGGCTAAATTCAAAGCTAAATCAAGTTACTCAAGGCCTTGTCCAGGGAATTTCAAAAATCTCCCTCCTCTCGCTCTCAGCCTGATAGAGCAAGGAACTCAGAGGAGCTTTTCTTTCAGCTCACTCCTCGGTACGGCAACATCTTCAGCGTGCAGTTTGGAAGTCTGACATTTGTGGTAGTCAACGGATACCAGATGGTGAGAGAAGCTCTTGTCCATCAGGCCGAAATATTTGCAGATCGTCCAAATATTCCACTTCTCCAAGAAATTTTTAGAGGCTTTGGTAAGCAGAGTTATCAAGATCTTGGTACATAAGCTTCAGCTATTCAGAATGATAACAATTTGAATAAAAGAATTCAGCCAAATGGTGCCGATAAAAGCTTACATGGAGGTAGACAAGAGCTGAGTTTAGTCTAATAACCTCATAAGTATATATTTTAATCTCTCTGAGATTTAGGCATGATGTTGTTCTGACTACTGGCAGCCCCTTTATGAATGAGACATATTTCAGTGCCCAGAAGCAGCCTTTTTCCTGCTCCTAACTGGGAACCACGTTTTGGCAGGCGCTCGCCCAAAGAGATCCGGCATGGGGCCATGGGTCGACACTCGCCTGGTGGGCCCCGGCATGGCCCTGGCATCCAGCAATCTGTACTCGGGCAGTCGCTTCGATGAAAGATGAGTAAGAAATGCAAGCCACCCAGTGACTTGAAGAGTTTTCCCTGTTGGTTTTAAGTCCGCCTTTACTTTTCTTTGCTTGGGTTGCATACAGCTCCAAAGAATGGGAAGCTGCCAATAGCGTGATAGTACTTATAGTATTTCAACTTACACCTTTTTTTCCCCCACGCAAAGTGACAAAGCAGCAGATTAAAGCAAAGTCATAAAGCTAGATCTTTAGTGTAAGCCAATTACTCTTGAATTTTAATTCCTAGGCAAAGCTACAGTTTTAAAATGTTTAAGTTTTTCTTTGCATTGGGTTTGTTTGTTTATTTATTTATTAAGGCCAATGGCCATTTCTGGATCCTACCACTCATACGCAACATAGATTAAGGTTTTGTTTACTGTTTTTTTCCACTGACAGGGCTCATATCATCAAATGGGCATATATGGAGACAACAGAGAAAGTTTGCTTTATCAACACTGAAAAGCATCGCTGTAAGTTTTGAGGAAAAAGTACAAGAGGAGAGTCGGTACCTAATCGAGATAATAGAGGAAGAGAAAGGTGAGCCATTAATGTGCACTGTCATGTCCTAAGCTTTCAGCTAACCTTTTGCCCAATGAACAAAGGGAAGGAAAACTTTTATTTCTATTTAGCTCCTAACATGCGAAGTATTTCTACAGTAGCACCAAATCTCTATCTTGCAGTTCCAGACTGTGCCTTTTAGCACTCATTTTAGACCTCAGGCCTGCTATTTTAGGCCTTCCTTATCAATATTAAGCAAAATATATGCTAGGTGTTTATTATAACTTGCATGTTTATATGGCTAAGAAAGCCTTTTCTCTGTTCTGTGAAGTCATAAATGCAGCTCTCTTGGTATCAAGCACTCGCGCTCAGAGGCTCAGTTAACCTCTGCTTGTCCTTGGTTTTGCAAAGTATTTTAAAACTTGTTTAGTCAGGGTTTCCTTTTGTGTCGTGCACAGATGAAGCATGTGCTTTGCTCTTTTATGGTCCAGCTTTTAAGAATTGCCAGAGGGATATTAGTAAGAATAATTTGTATGTTGGTGCATGGGTGATGTTGCATTTCAGCTTTAAATAGAAGCAGATGGGGTTTAGCTAATTCTATAGAGCTATATATAGTAAACAAGAAAGATCTAAATAGGAATTGTGAAATTATATACTGAACTTGCTCCATTTTAATAGCTGTTGCGCTAAACAGGCCAAATACTTCATGTTGCCAATTGATTATAGTCCTTTATAGTCCTAATCAATAAACTAATTAAGCTGCTCTTTTGGGCCTTTCTTCACATTCGTAACGACAGCTAGCGAACATGTCCATCACTCTAATATCTGAGCACCATCCTAGTTTAACTACTTTATTGTGGAGTGGAAAGATCAGCAGTGCTGAGCACAATGCCTTACGTTGCAAAGGGATGTTCCTCACTGTACTGACGGCAGCGCCCAGTTACACTCAATTTCTTACTGGTGTTATTCTTTCATATCATGGCAAGTAACTCTTGGGGCTGCCTTAGTAGCTGGAAGACTCCGGTGCGCCCTGGAGGACGGTGACCCAGCTGCTGGTCGATGGGTCTCCCAAGGAAAAAGACACGACAGAAGTCACACCAAGCTTGGCTCAGTTAAAAGGAGCCCAGGAATTAGCACGGTGCAAGTATCTGCGCGGAGGAAGGCTGAGCAAAAGCCAAGCCAGACCGATGCGAATCATGTCTGTGATGTGCCATACTAGCTATCACTGGACTTTGTAGGCAGTCGCAGACTGGTAATCTCACCCTCTCCCCCCTGCCCCTTTGTCTCTTTGTGTCGGAAAATTACACTGGCATGCCTGGAAATCCACTGCAACGGCATTTTGGGAAGCCAGTTAGCCTCGAACGTGCTCCCTCGGGCCAAGCTTTAAAGGCATCCTCTCTCGCCGTTTCCATTTAGCGCCTAAAACGTGCTAAACTGCACAGGCCGACCATCACCCTGCAGCACATTGCAGTCCTTTGCTCAGGAACATGGGTCAAACCCTGCTTTGGCAGCTGTGCGCCAACAGCGGTGTCTGCCAGCAACCTCAGCTGGGAGCTAGGAAAGGCAGGCTGTTGAGAAAGCATGCTGCGACGTACAGCAGGCGCCCTTCGGCATGCTGTTAGAGTCAGACTAAGCCAGGATTCACAGGCCTTCTTGCATCTGCATCCAGCTTCCTCATCTTCATTTTGCAGATGGGGAAATTGAGGTCACCAGGGAGGGCGTGATGCCAGAGGTAGTGGTGGGTTATAGCAGACTGGGCATCCCGGGACGGGGGTGCAAACCCTCATCTGCACCAGGGGTAAAAACTTTTATCCTGGTGGGGAGTGGTTTTTGACTGACATTAAACAAGCAAAAAAAAAAAAAGCTCTAATTAAAATTTAATTAGATTTAAATTTAATTTTGTTTCCTCTAGGACAACCGTTTGACCCTCATTATAAAATTAACAGTGCTGTCTCAAATATTATCTGTTCCATAACTTTTGGGAACCGCTTCGACTACCATGACAACCGTTTCCAGGAGTTGCTGCATTCGCTGGCTGAAACACTGCTCCTCATAGGAAGTTTTTGGGGCCAGGTAAAGCTCATCCGATTTTTTCGAACTTCACTTGCATATTAAGTGCTTAAAAACCTGTGTTTCTAAGGTACGGAGGTAATCTGCCTTTTCCCTGTGGAAAAAAGAGTCATATTATAAGGGAAATGACCACATGTATTATTTTACAGTGTTTTTATACATAAAATCCATCAAGAAAGCGAGCAAGCAAGTTAAAATTACTCTACTAGTGGAGCTAGTAGAGATAACAAATTGTACTGCCTGAACTATGACACTCTGCTTTTTTAACCTAAGAAAAATTACTTTGTTTGTCTGTTTGATGTCTTCGCAGCTGTATAACGCTTTCCCCTTGGTAATGAGATGGTTACCGGGACCCTTTAGGAAAATCTTTAGGCACTGGGAGAAACTTAAATGTTTTGTGAAAGAAGTGATTGCAAAACACAAGGAGGATCTGAATCAGTCTGAATTGGGAGATTACATTGATTGTTATCTGAAGGAAATAGAGAAGGTAAGGTAAACAGGGACCGGCTACCTAAAACTGAAAAAAATGAGTAGACAAGACCCAGAGCTATTTTGTTAGAGACGCTTGTGCCTGCCGGTGCTTATGTAACTTTAGCGTTGCCTTCCCCTCACTACCTCTTTCACGTCAAACTTTCCGGCAACAGCAGGAGTTTGATCACTTTGAAAATACACAGATTTTTTTTCATTTGAAAGTATTTACACTTTGTCTTCTTCTGCCGCGCTGTGTAGGAGGACTCGCAGGAAATGTGTTTACCGTTCTATGGGAACTCGCAGGCCTGTTTCCCATTGTGAAATTCAACATTTAAAAATGCTACCTGCTTCTGAAAGCCCCTATACAGCAAATAGAGTGTGTTTCAAAGCAATCTGCAGGATTTGGAGCAAATCAAAAGTAAAGGGTCAAAACTTTCAACGCCAGCTATCCAGCATAATAAACTAGCAACTGGAGCAATGCAAAGATGGTTTGGGATGGGGTTTTAAAAGTACTTCCCTGCTAAATAAGTTCCGTTAGCTCCGTAAGTCCCATAATTTCCATTCTTTTCTTCCCAAGTGGAAGGGTGACACCAGCTCTTATTTCCACGAGGAAAATCTGCTGTGCTCCACCCTGGACCTCTTCCTGACCGGGACTGAGACGACCGCCACCGCCATCCGCTGGGCCCTGCTCTACATGGCCATGCACCCCCATGTCCAAGGTGGGAGCATCAGCAGGGAACCACTGTGGCTGCCTTTGCTGGTCAAAAACCAGCCGGCACTGGGAAGCCCAAAAGCAGGCCATACTGGGCTTGCAGTGCATGCAGGATAAACCACATAGAAGATATCCACTAAAAATAGCGTTTTGCCACCCAAATCATCTGAGCTGGAGGCCCATATTCACTAAAGGCAGTGGCCAAAAACCCTCTAGGGCCAGTGGAAATCTTCACCAAGCATAGGGAGCTGTGAATTGGTATCTTTTTTTCTGTCCCTGAGCAACCACAGCTGAAATATGAGCGTGTTTACCTGTAGGAAACCACATAGCAAAAGTGGGGAAAACTTCTTTCACTGAGCTGTGAGAGCAAAAATCCCATGGGCTGCGTGGTCTTTGCACTTCCCAGGCACTGCTGCACAAGGGGAGGGACCGTTGCATAGTAAATGCAGAGATAACAGAAACTCAGAAAACTCTTTTAGTACGAGAATCTAGAAGAGAAAACCAACAAGTCATGGCTATCTCTGTAGAAACCTCTACCTTTTAAGCATAGAGCTCGTTTTTTTTTTCCTTTCCTTAGAGAAAGTACAGCTGGAAATTGACACCGTGATCGGGCAGTCCCGCCAGCCAGCGATGGACGACAAGGAAAACATGCCGTACACCAGCGCCGTGCTGAGCGAAGTGCTGAGGTTGGGCAACATAGTGCCGCTGGGTGTCCCCAGGATGTCCACCAGTGACACCACCCTGGCAGGCTTCCACCTTCCCAAGGTACAGTCAAGAAACCGGCCCCTTCACTTGCCTTCCGTGACCCCGTGTGAGCCAGGCTGTTCATGTCCCAGCCTCGAAAGTCCTCAGACTTTGACCTGAAAGGAATCAACCAGCAGGACCTTACCCAGCTATCTCAATGCCGTAGAAAACAGGAGCCACCCAGATGGACATGGTAAAGGTGTTATGATCTCACCTCTTTATGCAGGAGATCCTACCGCGGAGCCATGGCACTGGTCATAATTTTCAGTTTCATAAAGTTTATTTTTCAAACTTTATACAACATCCTCTCCATGCATTATGTGAAAAGAGGTCCAAGAAACATAGGGAAGTATATGGAATAGATTTGGTAGGTCCGTAGAGCTTTAAAAATCATCTAAGCTAAAAGTAGCATTTGATAAAAGCTAAGTAATAGATATTGATGCCTATGTCCTGTTCTAGCGCTATAAATGCAAATTTCAAAAGTTAGATGTATTTAGTATCTTCCGTGAACATGAATGTTTGCTTCATGGAAAATAAAAACCAAAACATTTGGGCATTTTGCTCCACATTGCTCAGAATATTTTTCTTTTTCTGATGGAGGATGTGGACTTCAACCAGATACTGTGCTGTTTAAAATAAACAACACAATAAAGAGGATCCACTGATTATTTGGTTAACCAATTATTTGGTTATTTGGAACCAATTATTTGGTTATGTAGCTTCCAATTCCTGTGGGAACACAAGTTTACTGATTTAAAATGGGCTTCTCCTAACAAAACCAGTGACATTAGCACAATATGCAGACACACACTAAGTGATATAAAGTAGAGGTACATTAAAGTTAACATCCACACTGGTTTTCACCCTCGTTTAATCACATTGGTTAAGAATAACATTTTACTCTTAAAAAGTGTGTTTTACTGCTTGTGTAGACGAGAGCTAACAACAACTAGTCTGACAGTGCATCAGCTCTTCTTCTCGTAGTCTCCCGTTCTCCTCCACCTTTCGCAGGGCACCACCCTGATGACCAGCCTGACTTCAATCATGTTTGACAAAAATGTGTGGGAGACTCCAGACACCTTTAATCCCGAACATTTCTTGGAAAACGGCCAGTACAGGAAGCGAGACGCTTTCCTGCCTTTCTCTGCAGGTAGAAATAAAGGAGGGAATGGTTTATTTTGCCTATGCAATGCCTTTTTTTTTTTTTAAGAACCCCTCTATCAGAGCAGAGGGTACCGCTCCCTGTCCTGCTTTCTGTCTCTGATAGCAGCCTCAGTCCAGCATTTCCATCAGTGAAAAATCCCTGCTACAGTTAATGCTGACCGCACTGAGCTGTACCATGGAGGGAGAGGAATTAATTTATTGGTGCAGGATGAAAAACAAGGCTTTTTCTCTTGCATTAGCTGCGTAAACGGGCTTTTTCTGACTCCTTCCCCCCATCCGTCTCCACGAGCAGCCATCGCAATTTGCTTCTCAATAAAGTTCTGGGGAAGGTTTCTGCAAAATGTGTGGGTGAACATTGCCACCTAACCTTGCGAAGGAGAAAAGCTCCCGCGAGCTCAGCGCTCGGCGTGCATGAGAGGAGCCCGCCGGCAGCGGGGATGG